CCTCATCTTCAGATACTTGCAGAATAGATCCCAGATCCAGGTGTGGCTGTATGAGCAAGTGAATATGCGGATAGAGGGCTGTATTATTGGTTTTGATGAGTACATGAACCTTGTGTTAGATGATGCAGAAAGAAATCATTCTAAAACAAAGTCAAGAAAACAACTGAGTTGGATCATGCTGAAAGGAGATAACACTACTCTGCTACAAAGTGTCTCCAACTAGAAATGATCAATGAATTCAAACAGCAGGGAAGTGAGGCAATGGCAATTATGATGATATGTAAAAGGGCAATTGTTTAAGTGGTTTGCCCTGGGAGTGTTTGTAAAACATTTGTTCATATTGTTTTGATTACCCTCATGTTTTTACTAAAGGACAATAAATGTAGAGTTTTTTTTAAAGAAAAAAAGGAAGTCCAACAGTAGTGTCTATGTAACTAAATCTAGCAGTCAACAAATATTAACAGTCCATAATTCCTTCTGGTTGGGGCAATGCTCTCAAACCTAGTTTCACACAGAGTTTGAGCAGTTACAGAGAAATTTTTGTTACTGAGAAATTATACAAAAATTTTAAAACCAATTAGAAAACTAATTTTCTTTCTGTATAATCTCTTCACTTTCTTTGTTCTAGTTATCTAAATTTTTAAACTCTTAAAAGAGACAGCGGGGCCAAGGAGATGACTCAGTAAAATAAGCACTTCCCTGACAAGCACAGGGGCCTGAGTCAATCCCTGATTCTGCCAAAAAAAAAAAAAAAAAGAACAGCGATGACTCTTGAAACCTGGTATATTCATGCTAAGCAGATGACATTCCCTTCCATTCATTATTAGTACGATCGGGGGCCTGCCCATTAGCTCAGTCGTTTAAGTGACTGCCCCAACAAAGCTGTCAGACTCACAATGCTATGGTTCGATCCCCGTATCCTCAAGCCTTGCCAGACCTGCCCTGAAGGTATCATGAGCCAGCCTGCACCCCCCCACACACAAAAAGTCATTCATTATTAGTACTATCACGAAAGAGTAAATATGGAACTTAGTTAACTTCTTTTTTTTTTTTTTTTTCGTATTTTAGGGAAGGGTCTACAGGGTATTCAGGGTCTCACTACTAGATTGGACTTATAGTGATCCACCTGTTTACAGCCTCCCAAGAACTGGGATTACCGATGCCCATCATCACACCCAGTCTCAATTGCCTCTCAGTGCACCCAGGGGGCAGGGCTGGCACAGCAGGCCTGGGATTTAAACCCCCAGCCCCTGTGCCTGCTTCCAGGCGCTTTAACCCGCTGAGCCATTCGGCCGGCCCTAAACAACTGAGCTACTGGCAAAGCCCCAAGCATTCTTTAATCAATAACAGAACAGTAAAGTTTAAGATCTTCTTTTCCTTATAAATAACTATATAACTATATAACTATACATATATATCCTTCCTCAGGGAATGAATTCATAACTTTACCACTCAGCTGCCTGTGAAAAGGCTTTCAATTCTCTGCCTTCTAAAAATCTGTTCTGAGAATTACAATCTGTGAGTCTTCAAAAAATGCTTCCATAGGACAACAGATACTACACTGTATTCTTGACTTGTATACTGTAAAACGTAAAACTGATTTTTGGCTCTATTTCCACATTTAAACAATTTGCCCAAATGACAGATATAGTTAAGAAACACTGTGCTGAAGAAAAATATTTTAGGATAGTGAAAACGTGAACACAAATAATTAAAACTATAATAAAAGGGTCGGGGAGATGGCTCAGTGGAAAAAGCGCTTCCCTGGCAAGCGTAAGGGCCTGAGGTCAATCCCCGGTTCCGGAAAAAAAAAAAAAAAAAACTATAATAAAAATGTTAGGTTTTCTGGCACATCAGGGAATAAGTAAAAGAAAGGGAGGGAGCCTTTACTGATTCTGAGGACCTGAGAGCATCGCAGGGAGACGGGCAGGACCGTCTCGCCTAAGACAAGGGAAGGCTGAGAGTTAATGAAGTTTTACTAGGGGCATAGTTTGAGGGGCAGGCTTGGTGCATTGTAAAGGTCTGATTGGGGGCTCCCTTGTGTGCTTGGAAAGGCAAGAGGAAGTTGTATTTAGGGGTGGGGTGGGGAAGGAGGAGGAAGAGTTCATCAGGAAAATAAGCTGTTGCATTTGGGAATCAGCCATGCTGGATCAGATCCTTAATAATTAAGCAATTTGTACTCAAGCTGGAACCTATCAAAAAATTTTTTATTTTTATATTATCTGTATACCCAGAATAAAAGTTAATAGTTATGGTTTGCTAACAATAACATAATAAAGGTGATCTATTTTTACCCATCATTATTTTAACTATAACTTGACATTTCAAAGCTGAACTAGGAAAATATACTTCATGATAAGCCCAAATAAGAAAAGCTTAGATTGCTATAATCTCCTAATTTTGTTATGAAAGAAATATCTTGGGGTATACTATTAAAAATGAATTGAAAGATGTACTCAGTTTATAAAAGACTTATATAAACACAAAACAATAAAAAGAAAACATTCTATAAGCCCTCCAAAAAGAATAAAAAGCACAATTTAAAATAAACGGTTAGAAAAAAAGGAATCAGTTTGAGGTAGAAAGTTCATTTTAAAAAGGGGTCTAATCGCTCATCACATGTAATCTTTTTCCCCTGAAACACAGCAGCTATATATCATTGTTCTTTCCACTGTCTGCTTGCTTCCCATGGAGGATGAAGAGGTGTGTTTAATGGCTGTTTCATACTTTCAAGTCTTTTTTTTTTTTTTTTTGTATTGTAGGGAAGGGTCTAGAGGGTGTTCAGGGTCTCACAACTAGATCAGACTCATAGTTATCTGCCTGTTTACAGCCTCCCAAGAGCTGGAATTACAGGCTTGCGCCACCCTACCCAGTCTCAAAGTTGTCCTCTCAGTCTGCCCCAGGGGCAGGACCAGCAGGGCAGGCCTGGGGATCGAACCCCCAGCCTCTATGCCTGCTTACAGGTGCTTTAATCCACTGAGCTATTTGGTTGACCCTTTCAAGTCTTCTTTATGCATTTTTTGTACAGTGATTCTTAATAGGAGGTTCATTTTCTGGGTTTGATTTTTGGAGCTTGTTCTCTATGCTCTCTTCTAGAACTTGTAGATCCAGATAAAGTTAAAAAACACTAATTCAAACTTTGTATCTTTTGTACTTTCTTGTTTTTGTCATTTCTTGCATCCCCACCCCAGTGGGTTTCATGTATATCTTCTCTGGGTAACACTTGTTGCAGATGCTTTTGTTTCTTAGCTGAAGTATGTAACCACTTTTCTTCTTTCATGTCTGTCTGACTTTCCCAGTGAAGAAGTCATCACCACTGTCACTCTCTTCAGACATGGAAGACTGTTGGTAGAATCTTTCTTCTGTTCTATCAGCAAAATATTCCTTTTCTTCTTCATATAATTTTTCTTGGCCCACACTGTCATCAGCAGGCAAGCTATTCAACCCTTTCTTTTCATTTATTTGACTTTCATGTTTGGGTCAGCAGGTATCTTCCCGGGACACCCAGGGAGTTACAGAATCCTTTTCTAAAAGCTTGGACAGGGAATTTGGAATATTCACTGATTTGGGTCCATGTTCCATGTTGGGCATTTTTCTTTTGAATTATTTATTGGTTTCTTTGCCTGGATTTTGGCTTCTTTCAGTTTCTGCTCACTGGTCTTAGTTCCTTCATGCTGTGACTTACTTTCTTCATCAACTGAATACAAGATGTCCTTAAAATGATTCTCTTCTGCAGTGTTCTTCACTTCAGTAGAATTTTGTCTTGCCTCTTTAAAGGCCTGGTCAGCAGCTTTCAGCGTATCTATTCTTTTCTTCAGTACAGGGTGTTCAGCTCATCTGGCAATTGCTCTTTTAGTTGCAGTAGAATCTGCCTTATTGCAGATTTTTTTCAAAGTTGATATCATCAGCAAGAGCAGATTTTGGTGCTATTTCAGGTTTCAATTCCTTCATGGCATGAATTTCTTCAAGCAATTGTTGTGCCCGTCTTTGATTTTTTAACAGTGTATCTTCAGTACCCTTTTTTGACTTTAGCCTGACAACACTCCCGACAAGTTTTTGATGATCAAAACTCGTATTCTCTTCACTTCTTTTCTCATCTTCACAACCTCATTATTCAGATTGAGAGTTATGGGAGGCGCCATAGTCTACAGATCACAGAAACACAATTGTGTATTTGAAGGCTGTATGCATAAGTGTCTAGCAATTATATAGTATAAAATTCCCATCACTCAAATTGGGTACACATCTAATGTGCTAAATGTATTTTAATAACTTAGCTTTAGTTGAAAATACTTTCTTTGGGGCTGGAGAGATGGCTCAGTGGTCTAAAGCACCTACTTAGAACAAGCTTGGCAAAGCATTGGGGACCGCGGTTCAATCCCCCAGCACCACATGCCAGCCAGCCCGCCCCCTGGTGGGCTGAGCTGGCCACACACACCTCTCTCTCTCTCTCTCTCTCTCTCTCTCTCTCTCTCAAATAAATAAAAATAAATAAATAAATAAAGAAGTTGTTGGCTTGAGCCTTTAAAAAAAAAAAAAAAGAAAGAAAATACTTTCTTTTCCATATCATTTTCTGTTTCTTTTTTCATCAATGTGCATTTGCAAGAGACATATTTTGTGGAAAGAATAGTTTTTGTGTTACAGGTTGAATTCAGCTACTGTTATCAGTAAACATATAATGAAAATTTTTCAAAGTTGGTTTAATTTCTGGATGAGTCCTTTGCCCTACTGCCTTTTCCCTGCCTAAAATATAGACGTGACTTTGAGGTGGAGTAATAAAAAAAGTAAGGGCAGAATTAAAATTTGGGGTCTCTGTAAATTTCTTGAGAAGCCTTTTCTATCCTGGGCTGTCCTCCCAGACTTCTTGCAATGTGAAAGAGCCTTTTTTGGGCCAGGGAGATGGCTCAGTAGAATAAGCACTTCCCTAGCAAGTGCAAGGGTCTGAGTTCAATCCCTGGTTCTGAAAAAAAAAAAAAAAAAAAAAAAAAAAAAAGCCTTTTTCTTACTGGTGCTTTTTAAGATTTTTCTATGTGGCGCCAGGGAGATGGCTCAGTAGAATAAGCACTTCCCTGGCAAGCATAAGGGTCTGAGTTCAATTTCCGGTTCCAAAAAAAAAAAAGATTTTCTATGGTTTACCATGTAATAAACTTCTAAGTACTATATTATGCAGCTAATTCTCCATGCTACTAAATTTTTATGCAAGAAAGTTGGGACCCAAGAGCT